CAAGTATAGCTTGTACAGCTTGTGCAGCACAAACTCTGGTATCCCATTGTGAAGACTTTAAAAGGATAGAAACTCTTGCCAATAAATGATGTAAATCATGAGGATGTAATCTCTGTGCTTCTCCTAATTGTTGTGCTGCAGCTCTTTTAGTTACTGCATTTGTCCCTGTTTCCAATAGTATGAATAGCCTGTCTAGCCTAATAGAACCCATACATTATGATGTATGCAATCATGTTATTAAATCAACTATAGATAGATACAATCATCTATTAATATATGTATTCACATGCATTTATTATTTTCAATTTTTCTTTATTATTATATAAAGTAGCAATATGATAAATATACACGTTATAAAATTTTATTGAGATAATAGATATAAAATTTGAAAATATTAATTACATGAAGATTTACTATTTATTAAATATAGTTATTATAAATTATATTTTTATGTATAAAATATATGTAAAATTTAATAATAATATATTACTAATGGTACATTAATGTTTGTTATTATATCATAGTATCATAAACTAATCCATTTTTGCATAATTGTAAGTAGATTAGTGTAAATATTAATATTATTCCATACATCTCATTTTAACAACACAATTATAATTGACAGTACTTTACCTTGATGTCATGTTTACAAACTATGTTGATCAATAAACAGCTGTGAATGCCTAAAATCAAAATAAGAGTGTACACATGTATATACAGTATCACAAACACTTGAAAAATGAACTATCATTAAAAAATGATTATATATTTGGAATAATATTTACAGTAAATAAATGAAAACATTTAATAAACATACATATCAGAAACATAGACAAAATGATCATGAAATGTATATTTATTATTGGATATTACAACAGTTCAACAGGAAATATACTGAATGCTCCAACTATACAAAATAAAATGGAGTACAGGGAATAATAAAACAAACTGCATATTATTTATCATTTATTTGATAAAGTAAAAGAAAATGATTCAAATAGGGAAAATCGATTGTCAACTTGAAGAACGAAAGTTTGTGCAGTTAGATTGATGAAGTGAAGATGGATAGATGACATCTGCGAGTATGCGTTTTTTAATCGGTACAGAAGTTCAGGGATTTAAATAATGCAAAATTTGAGGAAAACTGTACAAGTTTTAATTAAGGAAATGAAACGGAACATAATATTTTTCAAGATATCGTAAAGAAACACAATATGGACATATAAATAAATAGCGATGAACAAACGCTTAAACATACCTGATTTCAAAATATAATTTATTTTACTGCTACGCTTCAGCTAATCCGCATAGCCGTTTTCCACTGTATTGATTCCCCGAAAATCACATTACGCTCTATATTTCGAAAAAGGTGATAGATAGACAGACTACTTGTCAAAATTTTCGGAGAGAAACGCATGTTCAAGCATCAAATTTATACTGACAGCCATATTGCAAGGGAACCTGAGTTTTGTCCCCCAATTTTGCTCTCATTGGTTGATTATACGGATCTTATAAATCGATGGACCAATCAACGTTTCCCTCGTGCAATGATCATGTTAAATTGCACACGTTTTATGCGTAGGATGAAATTATGCCGCGTACACATAATTTACTAGATGCATTAATTCTTCCTAATCCTTTCAAAATTATTTCATAATTCACACTTTAAGAACATTAAGTATATACATATTGCTTGTTGCTACTCATTTAATTATGTTTTTAATTAATATGCAATCAAATCATTTGCATAATTCAATTTTTTGAAAATTTACTTTATATTCTTTTACGCATCGCAAAATTCTATATTTAGAACACATATATATTTTATTTATGAATATGATATTTTATTAACACATTATGATTCATTCAATGTTATATTCTTAAATATACAGGGTGTTTAAAATTTTCATGACGAAAGTTTGTTAGTATACATAATCTATAGATCTAAATAAGGAGAAAATATTATATAAACATTGGCGTTTAAGATCTTACAAAAAAATTGTAACAAAAAAATGAAATATGAAGGAAACAGCAAACAGTTTGTGGTTATTGCGATATAATGTAGGAAGAAATCAGCAATATTTATTTTGCATATTTCATTTTTTTTCTTTTGTATTTCGTTTTCTTGTCATAACTTTTTTTATAAGATCTCAAAAGATTTATGTTTATATAACATTTTTTTCTTATTTAGTTTTATAGAATATGTATACTGACAAAGTTTTGCCATTAAAATCTGGATCACTCTGTATAATATGCAATTTTTCAAGCAAAGTATGTATGTTAGCACGAAATGCATTTGAGCATGAATCTGTTTATTTTGAAATACAACTAAAAAATTCTTTAATTAAACGCATGTAAAAACCTTCTATTATGTACTAACTATATATACACCAAATATTATATACTAAATTATTAAAATTCACGCCATGATTAAATTTTTTAGTGTTGTATACAACCGCAAAATATTGTTTCATATTTCGCGCCATTAAGATGACCTCGTGACTTTATTTGAATCTTTCCGAATTTTGACACGCTGTAATTTTAAATGTGACGTTTTATTAGTATCGAGTATAATTTGGACTGAAATAAGAAGACATCGCATAACAATTTCAGGTACATATTTATTATTTTTCATATTTTGGTAATGGTTCTCATATATAAGCTACGATTCGACTTAATATATTTTTCTCAAAATGTTAAAAATTTGTTCATAAAAAATCATCTTGTAAAATTTTAAAATTTATTTTATAAACGTAATGACAGATTATATTAAAAATAATAAATTTTTTATTTCGATTTTTTATTAATCAACTTGTAAATCTTATTTCAAAATTTATACAATATATTAAGATAACCTTTAATCATAAAAAACTATAACACTCAGCATATTTTTCCTAGTAGAATAATTTGTATTGTAATTAATACATAAAAGTTTTTAAAAATATTTGGCATTAAAACATGTTAATTTTTAAATAATGAAATGTGAATGATATTGGCAGTAATCTTAACCAGTAAACAAAGATACTGTTATAAACAAATATTTATTTATAAGAAAAATTCTGTTCTAGGATATTATATACTTTACACATATCAAATGTTTAAGCCGCATTTATTTCATATTATAGATTTTACAGATTATTGATATTACTTTTGTTAACTAATACAATTTAATTGTACTCTATTTTAACTCAAGATGATTTTAATAATATTTTAATGATATTTATAATTTCTATGTGCCCCTGAAAATGAAGACATACATTATGACATTGTTTCTTCATTATTTTATAAGTGTAAATTATGCAAATTTATTATATATAAACTTACTGATACGCAAGTAATTTGTAACATAGCCAAATATTGCTCCAACAATAGCAAGCTGGAAAATTGGAGCTATAGTTGCTTTCCTAGGATGTATATACTTTAATTGCCATCGCCAGTGAGCTGTAAGTTATGACAATTAAATTATAATACTTCAAAGAAACTAAATGCAAATTATTATAGAGCAAAAAAATAATTGCAAAGGAATCAATTTTTGCTTTATATCAAGTTATATTGAACTTTAAATATAAAAAATATTATTTCCATTTATTTAAAACTAATTTATCAAGTAATATTAACGTATATATCAATAATAAGCTAATTGTAACAAAAGTATTATATAATTTTTGAGCCATGGTAAGGCCACTTTTTTTGATAAAATATCTACCTCGTGAAATTAGCGATGCAAATGGTTTGAATCCTTTTTCGCGTCGGCTAAACCATTCTGGCAAGTCACGAAGTTTTACTTCGCCAAATGGCGTATCAGCTGTAAAGGCGGATAATATTTTATTAAATCATTTGTAAATTAAATGAATGGCGAAAGATGGTAGACTTACGTTTTCCGTAATATCGAGAAGGATCATATGGACCGTGTTTGGCTGGATCATATCCTGCAGGATAATTACCCCATGTATCAAATTTAATCAATTTGGCAAATTGATTCGCCAATTGTTCCAGTGTACCCATTATGAAACAACTAACTTATTGAAAACGAATTTTTAGTTACTACGTTTCGATGAATACCTATAAGGTACTATATAAAGGTTATATCTAATGCGAGATGTACAATCATGTAGAGACAAAATCCCTAGATATATGAATTAAATATGGGTATAGGAATATAAGCACCGAGCACAAACCTCTATTTTTAGAGTGAAGTTACCTCCGGGATGCGGGGACACAGTCACGTGGTACTTTGGGGTCGCATTGGCTATTGGCTATTGGTTTGAATATAAACGCGCGAGATTTTAAGAAATTCAAAATTTACATCTCAAGTTAGTTTATTTACAGTCATGAGTTATAATTCAACATCTCTAAGTATGAAAATTTTTATTGCTACTATTTGGTATTTAGTGTTGCAATTATGTAATGAATTTAGTAAGTTCTACAATATTATTTTGGAAACTATTATTGTTAACTGCAATATTTATAATAATTTGCTATCTTTGTCATCTATCAAATACTCATTTGTATGATGGATAATGAATACAAAACTAGTTATTAATCTCATTCAATTTGGAGAGAGAAGATCCATATAGTTCGGTGGTTCAGACTTGAAATTAAAGATGTGCATTTATTTTATTCAATACATAGAATTTAATGTAAACTAATTTTAAAAATTCGATTTACTTTACAAAATCTTTTATTTTGTAATGTACATTTATATTTACATTATCAATGCTTGATCATTAAAGATTTTAATTTAATGAGTAGGTATTAAATACACATATTTTAAGGTAATAATTATTTACTTCCAAAACTAAGGTGAGCAATAATTCTTCCACTAAAACAAATAATATGCAAATAACAGTATTATATGTAAAAATAACAGTATTCTTATATCTATCTTCAAGTTCTATCTAAGCGTATCGAATGTTTAATTTAAAGTACATAAGTAAGGCTACAATTACGTGTAAGGTAGTTGGTATTTGTGCTCGTTGTTGATAATATTATTTCTTTTCCTATTCTTATTACTATCACTAGCCTCTAGTGGTCGCTTATTTTATTATATTCTCCGAGTACAAAGATTATTTGTTAATTTTCGTTTCTCTGGATTCGTAGAAAGTTAGATATTTCCCGATTGTTCATTTCGATTCTCGCATATTTTATATTTTACATGGAGCTACGCTCATTTTTTTTAGCTCTCCGAATGAATGTAAATCAATTTCCAGGCTGAGGTGACAATGAAGCTTAACGAACGACTACAAACGTCAGCCGTTTAGGGGTTTCTGTTTAATCAGTAAATGCGTGTCGAACATTCTATGCTTGTCGTAAAAGTTTCTTTCATTTTGTAAGGAAGTAGTAGATGTACAACATTTTTTGTTTCTATTGGAACAAAATGGATCATACATAATTCAATAAAATAATATAAAATAAAAAATGTCGTGCATATATCGTTTCCTTATAAAATGAAAGAAACTTTTCGGAAAACTTAATACTTATACCGTTATTCGAACGACAACGAGATTTAACTTCGTTCCATTAACTTCATAGTCATTCTAAAATCGTTAGTACCTTCATGCTTCAAAAGTTAATGTATTTGTTTAAAATCGCTTGTGTAAAATTTGGTTTATTTGAAATATTATTACGTATAAGAAGAATAAATAAACTCTACAATAAATATATGTTCATTGGTTGGTACCTTTAAGTACGTGTAGACATTCGAATAAATTTCATTAATCCTTCAAGAAGTATATTAAATCGAAAAGTTAAATTATGAAAATGTAGGGGTTGATAAATTCTAAAAATAAATTGAATCTATTCATTTCCAGATATCATACTCCCCGTAGTTCAACATTTTCAGCGAATTTCTTAAAAAATTGCAATAGTGTTAATTAAACCATTTTATCAAAACTTAAAAGTTTCAACGTTTCAAAATTTCTCTCGTTTTATTTACAAATTTTTCAAGAAATTCATCGAAAGTATCGTTCTCATGTTTATACCTTCGATCGCTAATATCTTCTTGTGTAATAAAATTCTTATAAATTTCAACAATTCGCTCTTCTAACAACAGCCTTTGATAATTCGATCGAATACGTTTGAAAATATACCTATATGTTCATGAACGAGGATCCTTTGGATTCTCGTGATTTTTCCGAACTAAAACGTTTCTATACGGAAGCAGCAACTTCTTGTTCCATTTCGTGCAGCATATTGTACAGTCGTGTCTTCAAATTATCCGAAACTGCAGCACGTGGTAAATGTTCAATGTCATTGGCAGGATTCGCGCATTGTCGTAAAAGAACTGCCAGTGTACTGGTGGTGTGCTCCGACATGAGTAATCCAGGAATTATGATAGTCCCCGAGAGAGTCCAACCGAGAAATATTTTCTCGCAGATGATCTGAAAAATGTCATGGTCGTTAGTTTTAATTTGCTTCCATAAAGTGCATTTTGATACATACTTTCATCGATACTCATTTTGATACTCTTTCATCGAACAATTTTTAAAATTAAGCTTCATAAGTTCTACATTTCATGTACATTCGTGTTCGATCTCAACTAAGACTTTAACCAGTGTGTTATGTATTGGCTTGGCAACTAAGTGATTGCGGATTTTGTCATTAAGTGGTATTCACAAAATCCGCAATCACTTAGTTGCCAAGCCAATATATAGTAGTACGACTCGATTCAAAGGTCAATGCATATATTTATTATATTTTCAACATTATGATAATAGAATATTTGTCTAATGTGTATTCTCTACTTTGTGAGTAATCTGTGAGATTTTTTGAATAATCAAGAATCAACTTTTTTTGCAGAGTCAGCTTTGTTTCGTCGAGGTTGATTTAAGAAAAATTAAGATTCAAATTTTGATATTATCGACAATGATTGTCACGTTATGTTTCTATACATATATACACAAAGAGTATTTTTAGTATATACTTTATGTTATACGAAAGTGTTATACATGTATGTTTCATGGCACTAGTAGATATTGTGTAAAATTTTATTGAGGAACTAACTGTATCTAGAGATAAAGTTACTTAAAAATAGAGAATCTTCCAATTAGTGTGAATAGCACGTAGGAAACCTTATACATCATACATACTATCCAGCATATAATCTTCTCGATATACATATATAATCTTGTCTTTCTACCCTATTTTTAGTCAATGTCTAATCATATTTCATAAAATACGCTATTATCAAATAACAAAAGTACAGCGACGTTCAAAAGTCTGCAACTGGACAGACGTTTAATATTTTTCCTAAAATCTAAAGGTATTTCAACCGAAATTTATTTATTACTTACCTTTATTTAAGTGACGTATTAATTATTATTGTTTTAATTTTCGCTTATGGAAGGGAAACTAGAAAATTTATTCGGCTTAAAATTTGTCAAAATCGTGTACTTTAAGTTGCAATTGCGTACCACTTCATATGCAAATTTCGAAAAAAGTATTAAACATTTGATTTAATCAATGGTTGACATACTTTCCCAGACTTTTGGAAAGCCTCAAACTATAGAAAAATTATGTTTTAACATAAATGATCCGGTTCATCTATGGAACATCAAAAAATATGTTTGCTTACGGAGGGTTAATCTCTGGCAATGTTTTGCCGAAAAATTTAGAACAAACAATTTAGAAAACAATTGCTCCTTTACGGCTGAAATATCTTAGGCTGCCCTTAGACTATCAATATTATCTATGTTGTCGATATTTCAAGGTTCATAACTAAAAAGATCAATATATATTGTCGATACACTGTCAATATCTATCGATAAACCGTATTTTCGTTGTGAACTTTGAAATATTGACGATATTTTTGATCGTCTGACGACAGCCTTGCATCTGTAGCCTCTTTTAGGATGAAAAATACTTTCAATTTCTTATAGGAAATAAATATTAATATTAGTTTTATGAGTTGATCCTGCTACGATCTCCAAACATTTTATCAAAGATCAATGTTACATTTAATCTGGATTTGTAATCAATTTTAACTGGGTAAAGATTTCCAATGTTTCAATATCTTAAATAGAAAAATACGAGGCAACTAACGTATGAAATGTATAACACCATATTTGACATGGTTTGCTGTAATCTCTTTCGAACTATACCGTAAAAGGATTAGCCTAACTCGATCTCGTCATTTATCGAATTAATCTTATTATCTCTGGTAATTACTTGTAAATTGTTGTTGGCGACCGGTGACTCGCATCGTTTGTTCTTCGAGCAGAAGGACCTGCAGTCGAAGTAGTCGCAGTCGTCGTGTTTCTCGCAGTTCTTCCCGTCCGCGGTGATACGGCTGATAATCGTTTTAGGAAACACCGCGTCCAGGTCGAGGAACTTGAGCTTCTGTCCACCGAGAGGCAAACCGAAATGGTTTATCTTCACATCGCACAGATGGATCGGCTCAGGAAAGTTGGTGTCGAGTTCTTCGAGCAGGTCCAGGATCATCACGGCCAGCTTCAATCTTTTCGCCCATTCCGGTTTCGAATCGGACAGAGCAAGGATTGTCGTGGGTGTTTCTATGGGTCGTACGTATTCGACCGCGTAGAAGGTTCCGCATGTGCCAATCAGCTGTGGAAAAATGTCCCTGTCCTCGTACAGTATGCTCATCAGGTACTCGTTCTCCTGTAACAGCGGCCAGAGATTTTCCATCTCGAGCTGTCGCCTTCTGGGCTCGGTCTCGACACGATGCGTACGAAGTCGTGCAAGCCTCTCTAATTGATGCTGCGACAGCGTCACGTTCAGCTTGCTAACGACCAGATCTTTGATCATGGTGTTGAAGTCCGTCTCAGACGGGAAATGCTTTATGCCAGTCGCGTCCGTCCAGAATAACGTCTCGTACTGCTCCATCGGTGTCTTCGTTCTGAAATCAGAGCCCTTGTTTCAAATGTCTTCGTTTTTGAACGATTATTTACGGTTGCATCGATCGCTACAACATTACAGTTTCTTCAAATTGCCTGGACTCTAAACAGTAATTTTTCAACTTCAAAGTAGACTTCTTTTTTTATTGGTTTTTAGAGAATAGAATACGTCTCTATTGGTTCCAACAAAATTTATAATTTACTTTTTACTTGATGTTTCACGAATTCTCTAAGTTTCTACAGTCTTACGAAATTGTAAATGATTTTTCGATCGTTCCGTCGAATACCGTATTTCGAGAATACCATAAAATCAGAGAATTCCTTGATCCTAGATGTAAGCATCGAATTTTTCTCTGTGACATATATATTTGCAAAGAAAGGGAATAAACCTTGAGGCTTTGAACACAAGTCGGGTCGTCTCCCAGTGGGCCGAGAAAACCGCTTCTTTGCCAGCGTGAAGAGTTTCGCATGCGAGCGAGTGAATCCCTCTTTCCGAGCATAGCGGGTCGCAGAGAATTCCTATTGCAGCTCCTTTTTTGTGCGTGCTGCACTGAAATGAAAATTATGATCAGGTACCGTAAGAATAACGTTCACATCGTAAAAATTCCCTTCAAGGGATACGATTAAATTATCCTCAATTTTTTTTTACTCTTCTGAAATTCTGAAACATTTTTACAGTATGATCTTGTTACCAACTTGGTGTTCTCCTTCTCATATTTTTCTTTATTTTTCATTGATTTACAGTATTTTTACGAGCATCCTTTTGGCTGAAGGGTTACGTAAAACGTCAAACCGGGACAGGGAACTCTTAAAGCAGTTTTATGACACGGGGCGAAATTTCTCGTTAACCAGACTCGGCCACTTTCCAACATCCTTTAAGATACTAATTTATTTCTTTTAACAATGTATGGTTTATTTCAAGGGTGGCCTCAATAATATGTAAAATGTCTCCTTTAAATTGTACTTCTTCTTTAAGATATTTCAATATTTAGAAATTTCTATTTAAATATATTTTAACATATTGCCTCGCTACCTACCATATGCAACATAGTTGTATTTTCATGCAACTGAATAATCCGATGAAAAATAATCTACTTCAAAAAGACACGTTCGTGTAATTGAGTTTAACAAATTAAATTTCCACTGATTATTTTAAGAAGACGATGCCAGGTTAAAATTGACCAGGTGAATATTCCAATATTTTTGTTGTTCTCTGTTCTTATTATTCTTACATTTTGATAATAGAAATTTCTAATTAGCCGGAAGTCGAAATTTACAGATTATTTCTTACAATTGTCCACCGAAAGTTACGTATAAATTCAAAATTATCGTTTCCTTCAAAGAATTGATCTGTCATACGATCGAGACTGGTAACTTTCACGAAATAAACATCAAACGCATTTTTCTCCCGTTGCTTCCGATTTTACTTGGAAATAAAATTTCCGTACAAATACCAAGGAACTAAAGAAGAGAATCTATTGCCTTGGAATTCCCGTTTATCTGAAGGAACACGTGAAATCGTAGTCACGTATCGTCTCGTCTGTCCCTCAATGAAATCGAACGACTTTCATTCAAGATATTTCCACGTTCGTCGCAACGTGACACCGATATTTGAATCGATCAAGTCGATCGGCGTGTAAAAGTCAGGGTTTAAGGGATATCCCGTTGGCGAAAAGCGTCTCGGTTAGCTTTAAGTATCGTATAAGTTTCTTTTCTTACATTCAACGCGGACTCATGTAAAACGGATTCCTTCGTATCTGTATAATCTACACGTACAGGACGTGTTACGTTCTTCGTTATGTATTTTGCTTTAGAACCCATTTTAGAATGAAGTAAGGTTATTGTAAAAGCACGTTGCACATAGGGGGTTTCTTGAAACAGAATGAAGGAATATCGCGAGACTTTGGCCGAGTAATGGGTTAGTTTTCTCTTTGAGTCACGTATACGTGATATGTATACAGGGTGAGACATTGCAATTGTGCATTTAAAAGGATTTCTTTGTCTCTGGAAGTGTAAGAGGACGTAGTCAGGAGGATTTGTCTCATTTAACTGAGCGAAGAATATTAAGATGTAATTCCTGTATTACAAATATCTCGACACGAGGCTCAACATTTTGAGGCACGTAACAGTAATGTTACATTAAACGGACTATTTTCTATTAAAATTGTGTAAATTCTTACATCAAAGGATAGAATGATAAATCTTTCATTCTATGTTTCAAAAGCGATATCTACGTGTCTTTTTAACTAATATCGAGAACGAGGACATGGGAAGTAAAAGAAGACAACTGTATTGCGTATTATACACAAAGGTTTTTAAAATATCACTTTTAGAATATAAAGGGAAACATCTACTTTGTCGGGAAGCTTTGTATAGTGCTGAATATTAAATATTTCGAAATGGCAAGGCGTTACATTTTAGTACACTTAGTACTACATATAGTAGTTTTATCAAACATATTAAAATTGTTCGAATTGTTATATCTCTAAAATGATCTTGTATTCGTTTATACGTAATACATTTATTCTTCTATGTTCCTATAATATTCCATTTCTGTAAAGAAATGTGACATGGTTTAAATATCAGTTGTTTCCTAAGAAGAATTAAAATCAGTAATATCCTTGAGCTTTATAAAGTTAAGTTTATCTTGCAAAAAAAAAAAAAAATTATCGACGAAACTTTCTTTATGAGCAACAAAGATTTTCATCTTGCGTAATTATCCAATAAAGTCTTGTTTACAGAAAGTTTACCTTTTTAGTTACGTTTGAGTATACGATTTAGATAAATTACAATTAGATTGTAGGGGTAATAATTTTGAGCCATGTTAAGATCCTTACGGTTTTGATAGGAAGCATGTTTTGATTTATCATCCTGATAATCGAGCCTTTCTACGTTTAAACACCCTGTAGATGTATGTGCAACACAAAAAGGCACGATAAATTGTCCATTCACAAACAAAGTTTCAAGGTATTTGCAATATAGCTCTACACAAACGAAGGTTACTACAGGAACTCGTTTATGCGCGACAGCATGACCAATCTTTATATTACCGAATATTTGTTTTATCATACGATGATCAATTACACGTGTACTTGCGAATATTGACATCGCGTATTCATTAAAGATTTCATTACACTGATTTAATTGAACGTCCTGTACCTCTATCTTGTAATCCATTAAACATATTTGACAGCATCATCATTTAACCAGTTGTAGATTGATTCACCTGCGGTATTTTATGTTGTTTTTAAGAATAATACATATATGCAAGATGCATATAAAAATTTCATTTTTGATGACCATTAATAACTAATATCTTATACTATAATAAAATAATAATATTATTATTATTATCGATCTATCGGAATCTATTGGAATTCATCAAAGGAAAAGAAAAAATTATATAAAAATCACGATTACGATGATAGTAAATATTTTTTAATCGATCGTAGGAGATAGTGTGTTTAATGTAAAATTACTATTACACCGATCAAAATGTTAAACCTTGTCACTTTGGAATATTTCATGTAGGAATGAAATTTGATAAACTCGATTATTTTCCTAGTGCTATTATCACTGGTGTTTTATAAACGCTATAAAAAGACCGAAATTTGTCAAGACCTTCTTCTTCACAGTACATCTGTCCCCTTTCACGATGTCCCTGTATTTATGTATGTACTTTTTGCCTGCTACTCCAAGTTCACATGGAAAGAAACGCTAATCTTTATTGTCAGCCCAGAACCACAAGTACGAGAAACGCGCAACCAGAAGGAGGTTCTCGTTCACCGCGAGAGCTAAAACAAATTACGGTGCCACCACGAAGTGCTGATAAAACAAATAAAATAAGTAGAAATGAATCTTCAACGTGCAATAGCGCTGTCAACAATGAGAAATGTGTTAACAATACATTTCCCGCTGATCACGTACAAATGTATATTTAACTGCTGATCACATAAAAAGATACCGAATACTTTTTCGGTCGTAGAAAGTTTCTTCGATGAATAATTTCAAATTACGTATTATAACATAATCGTTAAATTTTTTACGTTAATACTTTTTCCGAGGCTCTGTATATTGCCAAGATATTAGCCATAATTTATTATTACAGTACATCTATTGGCTATTGAAAAACTGCAACAAGTTTTACTTTGTTTAATATCGTATAGTATAAGGTGAATGCAATAATAACTTACAACGAAACGATTAAAAAATAAAAACAGTGTAAAATATTTAATTTGTACGATACACGAGAAGAACACGAGTCCTATTTTTGTTACTTTCTTGATTTCGAGCAACTTGTTGGATTCTCAACTATAGTAACAAATCCAGGAAATTTCACAAACAATCAAGTAAAGAATCATTTTCGAGATGTTTAACAGACACCAATTATTGTATCCTAAAATTGCTTATCACATCTTTTGCATTTATTCATTTGCATTAAATATCAGCAGGTGATCCAATATCGTGTAACATCATTTAACGTAATTGGCAAGCAAGTGAAAATATGCATAAACATGTACTTCCACGTGAAGTCCGTCAAACAGGATGAGGAAGAATATTTTAAATGTTTTAATCGCAAAAATAAGAATTTCGTGGGTGGACGGACGATTCATGTGGTCGAATTTTTACGTTCGATCCGTAGATGTTGGGGCATCGTTCGGAATGAGAGCAATAAAAGTGAATTATTCTCTTGCTGCGTGGGCGATACTTGCGTTACATACAGGCACGCTTGTATTCGCACACGTATAGCTAGTTTCACGTGCGTATAACCGGTACAACACACGTTTGGGTCTGTGCATACTGTAGACTATGCACAACGATATTTTTAGTCGTCGTGACCGCCATGATGAGAGAATTTCTCGAGTAGAGGCGGATCCCATAACATGCGTGTCACGCGCCTTTATGCACCGTAACGTCCATGTAACGTTTCGGATGAACTTTTTCGAAAGCCATCATCCTATCTGGGCCAAGTTTATACCAGCCGAGGTCCCATGTTTTTTCGCGCATATTCCTATGCATCCTGAGATAGAAAAACGGAGGAATGTTAGGATTATCTGGTTCCGGGGGTAATACAATTTCTGCGAATCACGAGCAATTTCACTGGCGTTTCATGGCATTCTGTTGACTTGCAAAGGTTTTGAATACAGGTGGCAAGTATCAGGAAGCGATTCTTCCGGGATTTGCTGAAATTCCTTTCACCTGTAGACGGGAAACACCCTTCATTAATACGTAGAAATTACGTCCTCGAATTCCAATCTCTCGAATTTTTATTTTCGTTAGAAAAGGTCGTTAATGTTTCACTTGACAAACGATTACATAATCTGGTAGAAAAACTATGAGATAAGTATTTTGGATCCTTTTCAGCCTCGTTGAAAGACTAGAACAGTAACAAAATTAGGTTCTGATAAACGATTCGATTTATCTATGGTAATTTGGCCAAATACAATTAATGGGAAAAAGGATATACTAAACAATATAAATATTAGTAAAATAGTTTCAGGAACAAAGGTCTTTGCATACTTCATGTTATGATATATTATGAGCAATGCAGCAATATTTTACAATTATCAAGGTTAAGGAATGAGCTTTATCTACATATGAAATAAATGGTTTAAAATTCATAAGCATGATATATCGTTCATATAGCGTCGGAATATCAAGATTACGGAATAAATTCGGTATAAGTAGTTCGTGCTGAATGTTTTGAAAGATGTTGAACGATCTATGAGTCACTATCAAGTTTAGGTATACATATAACGTTGTAGTATATCAGTGTTGTAAAATAAATATCGCCAATCGAACATAATATCTCGGCGCTTAAATTATTCAATAACGTACGATCAGCATTTATGATTTTATTTCTTATATTTGTACAATACTACGAGCGGAAAACCATTAAACGAGAGATAATTTAACACGAGGATCATCCGGAGACATTTTTTCGCGACCTCGCGTGCGTTGGATAATGCATTACGTAAACGTTTTCGTTCTTAATATTCCAGCATGATGATAGTGTGGCTTGAATGTAATGAGTAGTGACACTAAGCTGGCATTCGATGCTTTACCACATCGATGCAACCACTCTCTCGGCAAATTTAATTTATAGCCACGTTCAATTAATGTTTTTTCTACCGCCGGAGAATATTAATCCACTTATAATCAGCGTTTTATATGGTCATAGAAAGCTGTGAACGATCGCAACAAGTGCACGAGTCATCCTGAATTATAAATTTACATATACAGCGACTCACGAAAGTATTTGAACGCTTATAGAAAGCTTTGACGTATATGTACATATATACGAACTTTTCTCATTTTCATTAGCAGTGTGATGAATAGACCGTGAATTTTTTTGCAATCTTTAAAAATATAACTGAATAAATGAAATCGAAACAGCGATTTGTTTATTAAATGTTATAATAAATATACTACTCTGGATATTTTATATATAGGGTGGTTGGTAACTGGTGGTACAAGCGGAAAGGGGGTGATTCTACGTGAAAAAAGAAGTCGAAAATGTAGAATAAAAATCGACTTTGAATTTTCGCTCGGTACGCGTGCACTTTATCACGTCTCGTTATAACGGATCTCATTGTAGATCGTTGTCTCGATGAAAAAATTAAAAAAAAAAATTTTTTTTTCTACATTTTCGACTTCTTTTTTCACGTAGAATCACCCTCTTTTCGCTTGTACCACCAGTTACCAACCACCCTGTATATAGTTTCGCATATTATGTTCAAAATTTCACACAAACGCGTAAAAATTGTAATGCAGTAGCTCAGTGGCTTGACTCTCGCGATTACATTGACAAAATTTGGAAAAGAAAAAAGAAACCAAAGGTGTGCATAGAGAAATATTTAAGTAGTAGTTCATTGTTCGTTATATTAATATCGGTATATAATAATATGATTATTCATACCTTATATTACTTTTTCAACAAAATAGTAAGCAGTTTGTATCTTCGATACACATTTTTAAATTGGTTCCAAATTTGACCAACGTCAGTATCATAGTCGTATCTCGTTACAGTGCTTAGAAAATTTGAAAATGTTTTACACAATACACGCATAGTATATATGTATACATGTAAATGTTTCATATGGCAAGTATTCAAACAATTTTCGTGAGGAACTATCGGATTGGCAATTAATTTTGTCAATAGGTGGTATTGACAAAGTTCGTAATCACTTAATTGCCAACCCAATATTAGACTGTTTCGATAGGTATTAGGTAGTGTTCATCGGATGAGAAGAGTAAACACAAGCGATTAAAATCGTTGTTCATTTCATACGTCCTAGACTTATATCAACACACAATATTTTTGCCATATATATATGTGTGTATAATAGATGTGATACTGACTCGTTGATACATGACTCCTTGTCATGTGTAATGGAAATTGTGCTGTTTAGAAGCTTCATCGATCAACTTTATAAATCGAGGAGTACAAAAAAATGATGACGTTAAAAACACTGTTTTCTAATTATCAATTATTATTTACGTGATTTTCTTGCGACGAATGAACTTATAGAAGTAATCATAAATCATTTGTTTCTAAAGAATCGAGCATCGATCGTGTATACTCATATAATGAAATTCATTCTAGGAGGTTCGATTAAAGATCACGAAATTTTGAACAAGTTTCACAAATACAGAATGTATTTTGTACGAAAATTTGTTTTTATTCGTTTACATACGGCTCAGGTAATGGACGTTTGACGAACAGCGAACGTGATATAAAATCGAATTCCATTGCAGCCACGTGCGTTGAACGTTAATCCACTTATAATGAGAACATAACACGGTGAAAATCTCTTAAACTGTGCTTAAATGAATATTTCTGACGACTATAACAGCTGCACGAAGGACGCGTTAAAGCGATTATAAATCGTAAAATAAATCACAGACGAGAGAAATCGAGCACCTTTCCTTAAAATTTTTTAAATCTCCTACAAAGACGTGAATATTATTATGAAGACGCGCAAATATATCATCAACAACGATTCTCAACTTCTGTGAAACGTGGCGAAATTCCGCTGTATAACGAATATTATCTTTCTCAATCATATATACATATATACAATATACACATATACAATATAAATCATATATACGTATATGTGCATATATACAATCCTGCGATCATTTTTCACAAAAATCCTAAACAGCTGAGAAAGGAATATTTCATGCATTGTCCCATTCATCGTCGTCAATTTGATAGTTTGAAAGACTTCCCTTCGAAAGGCCTATTCATAGATGATTTTATTTTTCTAGGAAACCAGTCAAATTCTAAGGGCACATTCAAAAGAATGTAAATAGACGGTCTGTAGAGACGGGGATATTACCCCCTCTACCTCCTAATCCTCGCAAGATCTCGCAAGTTTGCTTGTTTCTATTTAGTAAGCACTACACAGAGGTCGTCAACTAGAATGTTTGTAACGACGTAAACACACAGAGGTAAGGACGGGCAAATTTTCCTCCCGAGATTCGTAGGTACATACGTAAAATTGGTATCGTAACGTGCTATAGAATCAGTTCGTTCCGTGCACGTTGGGAGAGCGCGTGCGTGCCCGTTTGTTCGGTCCCTGTCCCTTTCTCTCTACCCTCTTACGGTTTTCACCCCTTCGCGAGCGTGACCCTAGCGCGACCTGCCTATACGATCTCTGCGTACGGTGCGTGTATGTCGTGTGTGATATAGTTGTGCGCGGTAAAACGTGTCTCGAAAGGACTCACCACGTTGGATACGTGCCGCCAAGCTTCAAGGTTCGTGCACATAATACCCCAGTGAAGGAGAAGGTAGACAACGAGAACCATGGTCGTGAAGAGGAGCATCGTGATCACCTTGTAGTGGTACATGAAACCAGGCAATCGTCGGACGTTCATGATCCTGAGGTTTTCTTCTGTTCAGGGTAAGTCGAAGAATATTTATCACGTTTCTTCTGTCCTCTTTTTTCCCTCTTTCGTTTACTCGCTCCGGAATATTCGTCAATATCTGCGATGTCGTCGTTCGCGTTCGATGTATCCCTTTCTTTACCAGCTGTCTCGTCGACGACGTCCTCGACGGCGCATCGTGAGGACGTCTCGCGTTTAACCTGTTCGCGATTCGCTCATTCGCTTGACTCTTTTTCCGAGCGTTATCCCGACGACACGATCGTCGTCCGACCGGTGCCGTACGCTTGTGGCAATGCGGCATAATCTGCGGCACATGCTTGCGTCGCGACGCCGCGCCTCTCGCGGCGAATCTTCCGATAGCGTCTGTTGCGCAGGCTCGTATTCATTTAGACTAGTTCACGGAAAAATTCGAATTTCGCTCGATCACCGTTAACACACTGTGCCGTTCTTCCGCCAACGATTCCTTCGTACAGTCGGTGATTTAATATTTTGGGGACGGGGAGGGCGATGGGGTAAAGGTTAGAACCGTTGAGAGGTTATTTTCGAGATGTTTTCATACGATGTTTGTGTAAATGACGCGAAATTGGCGATTTAATTTAGGATTTGCGTACACGGACAGATTCCCCGATGATACTCGTACGTTCTCGGATGTAGGTGAAGCTGGTTGGTTATTTTGATTGGAGAGCTTTCCTTTTTGTATCGATTATTTGTGTGGAAAAAGTCATACGAGTCTCGCTTTACGTTGTTTGATATAACCGGTCTCATATAACGTTTAACCTCCTTCAGGGTAAATTTATTTAAATTAGATAATATTTACTTGAATCATATTTACAGATATTTGATGAGTTGGATCGATATTGGAGAATATTTTTAATTATCTGAGAAAAATGTTGTACGTTATTGTACATATTTGGCTATTATATATCTTTGGAATCGTGCTTGAATAAAACAACATGTACATATACATGTACGCGTATCGTATGTATGGCTCCCTTCAGGGATTAATTGTCCACGAATGTGTTGATCAATTATAATATTAAGTATAGAAAAGAAACTAATAAATTAACGAATAATTTGTTTGAAGCAAAGTAAAAAGAATATACCAAATCATATTATATTTTATCGATATTTTTTAATCGAAAATTTTACGAAAGTTTATTCGATTTTAACAACTATTACAAAATTGGCACGTTTCTCGCATTAATTTAATTTTCTTATTTTTATGACGTGTCTCATCGTAAATTCTACAAGCAATTGTCATAGATAGAACCTATTTCTTCTATAACTTATCACTTTCATTACACTTTCGCGATAGACAGTTAGGTGTAGTGATGTATTTACATTGAATGGAATCGAATTACACTAAAGAAACAGTCGCATTGTTTTCTTCAAATTGCGTTTGAAGATTAGCTCGGCGAAGATTTTACATGCACGTACGACGTTGTATCTCTAACTGTTCTACATTGCTTGCTACTGTAGAAACTTTTTGCTGGCTCATCATCGTCGTACATGTGCACACTCTAGTTTTACGATAGTGTGGATATGTTCGAAACGAACGAGGGGAACTTTTAATTGGAGGTCCAGCTGGTGCTGCCTCCTTTATCGTGCTATGAGATAGACGTTACAAAAGTTAGAACGACCGTTGATGCAATCAGCGTGAACTTCCTGGAAAATTTGAATATAAAGAAAAGTTTTTTTTTACGAATTTAATTTCTCGACTCTTTCTATATGTACTTATTACTTATTTATCACTTATTTTATGGATTATTCAAATTTTTTTATTCGATAAAAGTATACTCAAATTTTTCTTGCATCGAATACATTTTTAAGGAAATTAGGTTAGGAATTAGGTTAGGATAAGGAGGTTAGGATAAGGTTAGGATAAAAGATCGAATAGTATTCCAGAATTTGAACGTACAGTTAAATCTGAGCTATTTATTGCAGAAGCAAAAATCGATCTTTTGGCTGAGAGAGGAAATGTTGTGCAGTTGATGTAATTGCTTGTGCTAGTTACAAAGTCAATTTTACGGTATTCAATGCGTACGAGTATTTCTTAATTATGAAATTGTTATTACATACTTAACATTTATGGATGCTATTATACTTATATTATTCTTAAACTCATAAAAAATGGGTTCAGAAATTCTTGCTTTTTATTTCGTAAGATGTTACATTTTTCGTGTCATAATAATATTCGGTAAAAATAAGATCTGTAATAGAGATATTTGATAAGATCATTAATAGAATCCTTCTAATTAAATAGCTCAACATTCTCTGTATTTGACATTTATAAACCTTTTAAATTTATAAATGTAATAATAATGAAAAATCACATGTCTAAGTAACCCATTCAGATGTAACATTTTATCTTTATTTCAGTTAATCGATTATCTATTACTTTTTAAATTATTCCATATATCCGAATACATTTTCTCAAATTAATTCGTACATCGGTCTTCTTCACCCCATCTACTCACCCCTATACACGAAATATTTTAACGTAATCGAATATAATAACGATATGGTATTATGTTTCATCCCTGTAATTCAGTAAGATTCAGTACATCCACACCATTTAACATTTTTCCAAGCAAAGTTTCTACATCACTCTCATCCGCTCTTATACAATAATAATAAAAAGTCACATTTTTAACTAATTTAGTAAAATCTAACATACCTAAATCATCTAAGTAGCAAACTTGTCAAATTATTTCCAATACGCGAATACATCGTGTTGAACTTTTCCAATATATTAAATATCGAATATAACTATCCTCATCCGTACTCACAAAATACTTCAACGTTACTTTCTGCGCGTCAATTACATCAATTGACCGCTCGTGCACCACTAGCGTTGCGACAATACCGTTGATAATATGGTAATTGTTCCTTCTATCGTTTTCACTGATAAATAAACCTGCATTCGTTGGATTTAGATTTCTCAAAAATTTGTTCAAAAGATACCAAATTCACCGTAGAGGTTCAAAATGAAAACTGGCTCGCGATACTTCTTTCATATTTTCCCTTATTGCGCAACATCCTAGTTTCAACTTCGTCGCCCTATCTCAAACTTTATTAGAACTTCTACAATTTCGACAGAAACCTGGTACGGCCACTGGTGTGGCTTTCGTGGGTCGTTCTTAAACCGCGTTCGCGAGCCATCTTCCGTTTCCCCTCCCTTGGCGAAGCGTGCGTTGGCCGAATCTCGCAGAAACGATTCGTAGCAGTTTCCAAATCGCGCGCGGTCCCGCGTATCGCGAAAGAGGGACGCACCTGCATGCTGCTCGGCGCGCAGCTGCGACCTTCGACGCC